AGGACTGGCAGGAGCAGTTCCTGATCCCTGATCCAAAGATCTACAATCTGTAGAAATTGTTGTAATTATTATGCCAAGGTAGATGAATGATGGGTATTCATTCATGCAATGGGCTGTGCTAAGCAAAGTGGAAGCAAGGGCAGGCTGCTTAACCTCTGCAGGGGAGGGGGATGGTGGACAAAGTACATTGAAAGCTGTGGCCAGGATCGGGTGGGCAGAACACAAGGCTGAGACCACTGGTTCTGGAGTAGACTATCAGGGCTTGAATCCAACTCTGCTATCACCAGCTGAGCATGCCTGAGCAAGTTCCCTGATCTCCCTGTGCCTCAGTTTCCCCTGTAACTGTAAAATAAAGCTAGCCAGAGCACCTTACAGGGCTCTTTTGAAGATTGAGTTAATATTGGCAAAGCTCTTAGAAGAATGACTGACACCTAACAAGACCAGATATGTTTTTAAAAACAAATAGGGCCACAAAAGACCAAATTCAGATAGGCTGGTCAGGGAAACCCTCCTGAAAAAAAAAAAAAAGACATTTTAAACAGACATCAAGCAAGAGAAAGTGGCCATTTCTCTAATGATGCAGGCCTCCCTGGTGGCGCAGGAGTTAAGTCTCAGTGCTATCAAGCTATCGCCAGCCACTGCAACACGAGTTCAATCCCCAGCCAAAGAGATAACCCACATGGTACAGCAGACCTCTCCTATATCACGCCTGTCTTGCCCGCTGCTCCCCTCAGCAGTGTATTTCAGTGGATCTGCCTGTTCTGATCCCTACCTGTCTCTGGTGAATCCTCTCACCCCCCACACCTCTGGCCTACATCCCAGTTCTTGTATGCATAAATAAATCTTTAAAAAAAATAAATTCTCTGTGATGTGATTATTTTTATAATTCCAAAAATAAATTTACATTTAAAAAAATGTGCACTTTGAGAATTTTCAAGTCTTGGGGAAACTTTTTAATGAATCTATCTAGCTCACCTGCTTTGGCTGCTTGTTCGGAGGGAAGCCTCAAGTTTACATGGGGAGCAAATCCATGGCACCAGCCTTCTGGCCTTTATGCTTACTCTGATGAGATTACCAGAAGCCCAGAACCAAGAGACAGAGAACCAAGGGCAGAAAAGGCTGGCATCTTCTGCCAGGCTGGTGTTGCAGGCTCCCCTCTAGCACACAGAGGCCCCAAGTGAAGCTGGCCACCTGCCTCTTCTTCTAATCTGACCTTGAGGGATCCTGTGCACCCAGGGCCCTACCCTGTCCCCTAAGTAACACTCTGGGCCTTGACCCTCGGCCATGGCATGACATTGCCTCGGGACTCTTCCTATTCTCCCCGCTTAAAGGGACCATTACAAGTATTCATTAGAATCCTGACAGACTATTATGATTTCCCCAGGTTAGGGGTCTGCACAACAGGCGACTCTGCAGACAACTAGAACTCAAGGGGAGAGATGAGTAGTCATAACTCAGGCAGGCCGCTGGAGGCAACATGGAGGAGGGAACACCTTCTAGTAGACTCCTCACAGCTGACCCCTTCCCTCAACAGCCCTAGCAGGAGATGAACACTGGAAAGAGGTTAGGAGTCTGGGGCCTCCCCGGTGGCGCAGCGGTTGAGCGCTGGCTTGCAAAGCTGCCCGCAGCCTCTGCAGCGCCAGTTCGATCCCTGGCCACCGGAGGAGGGTCCCACATGGCGCGCAGACCTCTCCTGCCGCCCGCTGCTCCCCTCAGCAGTGTACTTCTGTCCTTCTGCCTGTTCCGCTCCCCGCTCTGGCTCTGGTGAATTCTCTCACCCTCCCGCGCTTCTAACTGTACCCAGTGCTTGTATACATAAATAAATAAATCTTTAAATAAACAAAAAAAAGTATTAAAAAAAAAGAGGTTAGGAGTCTGAAGTCTCATGCCCCTTCACCCCTGTTGATGACTTGAGCTGCTAAGTCAAAGGCACTAAGAGCAAGAAAACACTCCCAAACCTTATTAGTCCAGATCTCTGTTCATATATAAGGGACCAAGGAAGGGGCTTGCCAAAGCTTTGTGCCTTTTGAGGCTGAGTCTCCTTGGCCCCATAAACTGCTTGCCAGCAAGGGGAGGTCCTGACACCTGCCCGTGCTGCCTCAAGCTCGTGTTTATAGGGCACTCTTCTGGGTGGCTGAGTAAGCTTGACTGTCTGGCTGTCATGGCCTCAGCAAAAAGTCACTTCTCTCCACCCTTGTGCTGTTTGGAGACCCCTGAGTGCCAGAAAGTCTGCCCTCTCCTCTACTCAGCATCCCAGAAACACTCTGGCTGCCCACACTCACACCCCAGCATGGAAACTAAGGCTCAGACAATCCCAGGGCCAAGAGCACGGCAGGCCCATGATCCACACCAGGCTGTCTGAACTGTAAGAATCCCACACCTTCCCACGAAAAGTGGGTCTCTGCTCTGACCCAGCCTCCTTCCTTCTTTTGGGGTTCACAGTCCATGTTCCTTCTTCTGGTACCACCCTGGGCAACAGCACCCCCACTGGCCATCAAGGCTACCTGCTCCAGGAAGGCCCCGGTCAGGAGAAAAAAAGTTGCTGTCAAAGCACAGCTGAGTCAGAGTCAGCTCCTCAGAGTGACCCTACTTCCTCATTACCGGGAGTTGCCCTCAGCTGCCCCGTCAGGCTGGGCTGTGGGAGACAGACTCAGGTGTCGAAGATTCAAGTCTCAGGGAGCAGAAGCCTGGATTGGCTTGGCCAACTGGACAGACCTGAGCAGATGCTTATTTAATGCAGGACCACAGCCCTGGCAGGTGTGTGAGAAGCCCGGGACCTTGTGCGTGGAAAGGGTATACAATTCAGAAGGCATTTATTTTCTGACTGGTAGGTCCAGGGAAGGGAAGGAGGGGTCAAAAATGGCTGCCAGGTCAGAGGTCTCACTCTAGCCACCAACTGCTATTCCTAACACTCAAGACACTAGAGGGTTGGCCCAGTAGGGCACAGAGAGCAGCCGCAACTCTAGGACGCAGATCTATGCAGGGAATGGGGTTCTGGAGGGTGGGGTGTAGCATTGGGCTGTGAATCTGAATTCCATCATGGGGGACACTGGGGGTCTAAATGCTTGGGATGAGCAGTGAGGTGTGGGTTCAGACTTCCAAGGCTTTGTCTTCTGTGGCATCTTGTCCCTCCAGGTGGCCTTAGTTCTGAGTCCAGCTGCCAGGCTGGGTACACTGTCCATGAGGGCCAGGACTGCCCATCTAACTCACAGCACCTACTGCAAGCTCCAGTACATGTTTAAAAAAGAAGGAGGGAGGGACCTATATGCCTGGGTCTATTCCTACAAAAGACAGAAATGCTGGGTTCAGGGAGACCACATCTGAACTGCCTGGGGCCCGAGGAAAGGGCAAGACTGATAGTGCAGGCGTGACCAGTCCATGTTCAATTCCTCAGTCCACCCGCTATTAAGCAGTTATGTGACCAGCCTTCCCATGCCTCAGTTTCTTTTATTGTAAACGGGTAAAAATACCTGCCCTATTGTCAGGATAAGAAGATAACAGATGTGAAAGCATGCTGGAGAGGATGAAAACACTCCACATCTATATTAGCATGATAACTGCCATAATCACAGCAACCTGGAGAGGAAATTTTGCTACTTGGGAAGCAGAGCAGTAAAGGTCCAGGGCTGTCCGGAGACACAAAGGTGAGGAATGAGCAAGCAGTGGCGCTGGAGGGCGCTGGATTTCTGCTTGTTCTGTCCTGCTTGGGTGAGGTTTGCAAGAGAGAGGAGCTGGCTCCTCTGGAAAGGGTCAGGACTCCCCAGCTTGCCTTACCCCCTCACCAGATCCTGTTATGCCTCCTAGAGAGGTGTGACCCTCTTTTGTGTGCACCCCACATTTATAGTCCTGGCCTGGCCCTCGGGCTTCCAGGGCCTTTACAGCTGAGGATAGTGGGGAGGGGAAGGGTGAGGGGATTTGAGAGGAGGAATTACATCCTGTCTTCTGTCTCCCCCATGGGACACACACACAGTCCCTCTCTATTATCGCCTTTTAGGTAAACAATTTAAGGCCTTACTCACACATCTTTCTCAGCGGTCCCATGATTCTTTTCCCACTGTGGCTGTTGCAAAGCTGGAACTCAGACTGGAAGCCCCTCCATACAACCTGGGCTGCCAGAAAACAAGAAAATGCATCCCCAGCACCTTCCTGGACAGTCAAGGAGACTTCAGAGCAAGAGGCCACACCACCAGGAGCCCTGACTTCCCCTCGGTGTGCAGATCCAGCCCCCTGGGGCTCAGCATTCAGTCTGTGTCCTCCTATCAAATCTCTCCCCACAGGCTCAAAAGGTGTCCTGCCCGAGAGACAGGCAGGCAGCTGGGAGGCTGCAGGTGGTGCGGGGCAGAAGGGAGATTCACATGATGCCCAGGTTCCTTCGGGGTCACAGGTGTGAGGAAAAGGAGGAAAAGGAGGGTCGCTGATGGAGGAAACCAGCCCCCAGCAGCTGGGCTGCAACACAGCATCGAGGTGCAGCTCTCACCTTGTGTGACAGGGAGGACGGCCGCCGGTGGGTATGTCTGGCCACAGCAGAAGCACTGTCAATGGTTAGAAGAGGATACCTGGGATGCCCGACTTGCCAAGGCCTGAGTCACATGTCGAGGGCTCAGCTCTGGAAGCATCCACACCCATGGTCCTCCACCGCCACCACGGACAAGGGAACGGACTGATTTACCCCTGCCATCTGCTCCACTCCAGGCCGCCTCTTGTCAGGGGGAGGACACAGACCTGCCCGAGGTTGTCACCTCAGCTTAAAAGGCAGAGCTGCAGTCTTACTGGTTTGTCACTGAGAGTCGGCCATCAGACCCATCTTACAGATGGAAATGGGGGTGGGGGTGTTCATTGACTTGCTTAGGTTCACTTAGAAACCTGAGCTAGAAGCCTGGCTATGATGAGACCCTTTCTTGAAGCAATCTGCATGTGGTCCATGACTACAGGTTGAGAGATCCGGCAGCGCAGGGGTGCAGTGAGGGGGTGTCTGAACCCCAGGAGAAGTACCTGCTGAGCAAGTGCAGGGCCACACCAGGGGCCTCCTTCCCCCTGGGTGTGGGAGCACTTCCTCCGCATGCCCTGTGCTCCCCACCCACTGGCTTATTCTGAGCTTATCCAGGGCCTCCAGTCCTCTCAGGAGTCAGGCAATGGACCTTCCCCTACCAGGCTCAGGGCCATGGGGGCAGGGGGCAGAGAGGACTGAGGCCCACCCTGGAATGTCCTCAGAGAGGACTGGCCCCACCGGGAGCTTCCTCCAGGGAGCCCCCCTGAGGCCTTGCAGTAACTGGTTCCCAGGGGACATGCTGGAGAGCAGGGACAAGAGGACTCGACACTGACAGAGCTTGTGGGACCATTGTCATCACTCTTGAGAGAAAGCCTGACTTCATGGAGCCTGTCAGGCCTCAGTAGGGAATGGGCTCCCCTTACAAGTCTCTGCCTCAGCATCTGCTCTGCCACTGGCCACCACTCAGAAGCCTCCATTCCTCAAACCAACAGGTTGAGATGAGTGAGGTAGGCACTAGCTGCAGCTGGGCCATAACTGTCCTCTCAGACACCGTGGAGAGTCTGGGTGATCCTGGCCAGCCTCCTACAGGTCTAGGCTCTAGCCACTCCTGTGGCCAGCAGCATCCATTTTTGAGCCCTCTGGGGACCGGGAGACCATGTGAGGTGGAAAGGTTGTCCCATGCACCTCTTGGGGCCCAATCGAGTGCAGCACCACCTCTTTCTCAGCTTCTGGGCCAGAGGGTGTGGTCTCGGCCTTCTCTGCTGCCCCCCAAAGGACTGGCCTCAGAACATACCCTCTCTGTTCAGTTATGGCTCCTCAGGGACCACCACTCCCATACAGACAGCCCTGACCACACCCGACTGTTTATCTCATAGGCACAGAAAGAAAAGCAGAACTGCTCCTGCCCCCCACATCCCTCCCTTTCCCAGTTAACGGGCTCTCCCCGCCACACACATGCCACACACATGCACACACGCTCAGTTCACTGTGAAAATAAACCACAGGGGCCTGGAGATGGCCATACAACAAAGGCACAAGGCACAGAATCTGGAAAAAAGCTGGTGTGGAGAGCTCTCTATTGAACACAGAGTCCCAGCGCCGCTCCACTCGCCTACCCACTCCAGGGCCTCTCTGTCCCCCATTCCTTGGCCTTGGGCCCTGGCTCATTCCATTGCAAGGTTCTCCTTGGCCGCGAGTCATCATAGGGGACAGCTGTCTCCACGCTGCCTGCTCCAGGGCTTCGAGTCCACTCTGCGGAGAGCCCTGCCCAGCTGCAGCCAGCCTGTGGGCCCCATGGCCCGGGCGTGCCCTGGCTTTCCTGGTGGGAAGTGCCTGCTCCAGCTCCAGTCCCTCCTCATGACTCCAGTTCCCGGGAGAGGCGGGAGAGCTCCCGCTGGTTGTCGATGACCTTCAGCTGCTGGACATACGCCCAGGTGCTGGCTGGACTCCGGGTGCCCAGGGACTGCTCCGAGCCTGGAAGGGAAAGTAATGGGGGGGCATGACACCACTCTGTAGGGTCCCTCCCTCCCACTCCTGCCTTCCTGCCCTCACCTCCACCCTGTCACTGCCCATCTGAATCCTAGGGGCGCAGTACCCGCCCCCCACTTAGCAGGGTAGCACAGCACCATGGATAAGAACAGACTGAAAAAATAGGTCCCCAAGATTACAGAGAGCATAATACTTTTACTAAGTTCATAAACAGCTAAACCTCCTCCAGAATATTTTGTTGTCATAATACATATATATAGGAGGCATTTTAAAGACATGTGAGTAATATGTGTGTTTGTATATATGGTAAAGCTTTTAAATAAAGATAAGAAAATAAGTGACTCGATGCTCAAGACAGCAGTTACTGTTGGGACAAGCAAGGGGAATACCACTTCAGGGGGAGCAAGTTATTGTCAGTGTTATACTTGGGGTGGGACCAGAGGTGTTCACAATATCAGTAGAATAAATGTATATGTATAAAATAAAATAAAGGGGCAATGACAACAGTGTGGTATAGACCGTGGATCAAATCAATCCCATTTCATGCCACTGAAATCAATCAAAAAAAAAAAAAAAAAAAACCAGCTCTGTAGAAAGTGCTAGGACCTCACTAACCCCTTTGACTCGGGCTCTGTCACCAACCACGTGACCTTGCGAGAGTTCCTCAGGCCTGTTTGCATCAGTTTATGCTGGGATGACACTCTACCTACCTCACAGAGGTGTGAAGTAGCAGCACAAAGGCCAGCAAGGCTGGCCAGCACCACCCTACCCCACTCACATGTGGAAATCCTCGCAGCCTGGCCGTCCTCGTGCAGATGGGACACACGGCTTCTGAGCGGCGAGAGAGGCACTGGGTGGAGTAAGAGGTGGGAGTGAGGCCGCAGCCGCAGGAGGGATGAGGGTTGGGGGTGGGGTCCTACTGGGGCAGCTGCTCACCCATACTGTGGCTCCGGCAGTGGTGCAGCGTCCGTGCGGCTCTGGCCATCATCCTCTGCAGGCAAGCACATGAGATGGAGCCTGAGGGTCAGGACTCTGGCCTGGCCTGTGGGGCAGCTGGGAACCCAAGCTCCCTCTGGGATGCTCCTGGGGACTAGGGAGCTATAAGAAGGTTGGTCACGTCTGCTTCACCCTGGCACCCCCAGAAACCCAGCATGGAAAGAATAGGCATCAGGAAGGGCTTAGAGAGGAAGAGGCCTGGAAGGGGCTTCTGTGGAATGGTGAGGCACGGAAGGCCATCACCCACTAGTGAAGAGCCAACCCTCCAGCTTGCAATGGGCCAAGTCAGGTACTATTTTAAAAGAAGTGTTTGTGGTTATATCATTAATAACAACTTTTGTCAATCTCCCACCCTTGCCCCCTCCCAAGGCCATAACTCTGGTGGCGCATGTCCCCCCTCACCATCTTCTCAAAGTTAATGAGATTCTCCACCAGCGTGTGGTTTCCCTCATGGATGAAGGTCATGTCTGCAAAGAGGTAAGTTTTGCTCATATGAGTCCAAATTCCCTCCCCTTCCAGCCGCCAAGGAAAGGGAGAGAGTCAATAAAGGGGAGCAGTGGGCCTGTCCCACACCTCCATCGACCTCTTCCTCTGGCTCCCTCTGGCCTCCTGGAGTCATTTCCTTGTATCGCTTAGTTGTCATTTCTTAGTGGTCATCTAAGGTCACTAATGTTTGTCTGCATGTCCTAACTGCACTTCTAGCCTTGGAACTCTTAATCCATCTCTGTGCCTCCCAAGCTGTCAGCACATTGGAATCACTCAGAGAAAGCTGGGTGGACAGACAGACAGGTGCAGGGATGGATGGGATGGAGGCAGGAAGGTGAACACTGGTCCTATTACCTTTGAGAAGAAGGGGCATGAAGGGGATGACGGGAGGGGAGAGCTTGGTGAGGGCCATTCGATACACACGGTGGTTCCAGGAGGGGTCCTGACAGGGGAGAAGCCTCAGTGAGAAAGGGATGGTCATGCACCCCACAAGCCATCACAAACCGTAACAAAACCAAATGTACCACCCCACCAAGAAGGGCCATGCCCTTCCCCTTGGCGCTCGGTTTCTCCTTGTTCTCAGGCAGGCTCTGCGGCCAGCAGGAGGGGCCTGAGCTGGGACCGCTGGTCTAAATGCACATGGCAGGGCCTCCCTGGTGGTGCAAGGGGTTAAGTCTCAGCACTATGAAGCTATTGGCAGCCACTGTAGCATGAGTTCGATCCCCCAGCCAGGGAGCTACCCACATGGCACAACAGACCTCTCCTGTCTTGCCTGCTGCTACTCTCAGCAGTATATTTCAGAAGATCTGCCTGTTCTGCTCCCCACTCTGTCTCTGGTGAATCCTCTCACCCTCTGTATCTCTGGCCTACACCCCAGCTCTTGTATGCATAAATAAATAAATCTTTAAAAAAATTTAAAAAGTGGGCCTCCCCTGGTGGCGCAGCAGTTGAGTGCAGGGTTGCAAAGCTGCCCGCAGCCTCTGCAGCACCGATTCCCGGCGCTGGACGAGGGTCCCACATGGCACGCAGACCTCTCCTGCCACCCGCTGTTCCCCTCAGCAGTATATTTAGTCAGTCTGCCTGTTCTGTTCCCCGCTCTGGCTCTGGTGAATCCTCTCACCCTCCCGCGCTTCTGACTGTACCCAGTGCTTGTATAAATAAATAAATAAATCTTTTAAAAAAAATTAAAAAAGTAAAAGCACATGACCTCTGATTAGCCCTCGGAGAACCTCACACCTTCGGTCAACTGGCGCCTGAGGTTTCCTGGAAAATTCACTGTCTCCCTTTTCTGCCTCTGCCTCTTGTATGGGTAAATTCCTTTGAACCTCTTGAGTCCCATGAGGTAAATTTTTTTCTCAAAAGCTCCCTGAGCCATGCTGCTTAAAGCGCCTCTGTGCCAGTTCTCTCCTGGACACAGTTAACACTTTCAGTTGCCCCAAACTCCTGGGAGCAGAAGTTTCTGTTCTCCAACTCTTTCCTCTCTGTTGGCCTTGATGGGAGCGCAGGCTCCTCAGGTCTCCTGAGGGGCCCTGACAAGTCTGGCACACCGGGTGCTGGATCCAGGACTACCTCCCAAGCCCTGAGGAGGGCTGGCTGGGACAGTGCCCTGTCGATGCTCAATGCTGCCCTGGTGCCACAGTGCCCGTCCTGGTCTTCACACAGGACCCCGCAGACACAGCGAGCGCCCTACACACTTACTGAGGACTCTGACCCGCTGTGCACCCCACCATAATGTTCACTCACAGGCCGGAGGGAACCAAGCCCTGGCCCTGGTTGGGAAACCAGATGCAAGCAAGGATAGGCAGAGGGGCTTCAGGGAAGCCAAGCACAGGGGCGTCTAGAGCAAGGAGCCAAGGTCCAGGACTCACCAGGAGCCTCTCGAGGACTGAGTACAGCTTCCGAACTTTGTGGGGCAGCCGCTATGAAGGAGAAGCAGATGGAGCTACCAGTGCTCTGGGTGGGAGCCCAGCTCCAACCAGGACTCTGGACTCAGGCCTGGGGCAGGGAGACCCAGGCCTCATCCCAAGCCACACTAACCTCCCAGGTGTGGCCCAGGCGGCTGATGGCTGAGTTGCTGAGGCCAAACATGATGGCAAAGAAGGAGTTGAGGTTCCTTTGTTCCTTGAGGCTGCGAGCAGAAGACCCAGAGACCCTCAGGGGAAGCAGCCACACTCTAGTGCACATCCCAGACAACAGCCAGGCCTGGGGCCCAGCACCAATCCAGGCCAGCAGGGCCTAGGCAGGACTGGGGCCAGATGGGGTGAGGAGGTAGAGGTTCCAAGGGACAGGGGGAAGCAAAGGGATACAGATTTAGCAATGTACTGACTGGGATGGGGGTAGGGGTGGGAGTAAGAAGATGCTTCCCCAGGACTCTGGCCATGCACCCCACCCAGGTACTCACTGGGCTGCCAGCTTGATGAACTTCCTGAGCAACTGGGCCCTGGGACCCGGCTCAGGGCAGAGACACAGCTCTGTGGCCACCCAGTACTGCAGCTCATTGAAGCGGCGCATGAAGCGCTCCAGGTTGGCAGTGGTGACATCCCGCAGGTGCTGGGGGCCCAGCACATAGTGGATCAGCTCAACCTGGTGGGGGTGGGGCAGAGCAAGCTCTCAGCATGCACGCATTAGGTGGGGTTTCCTGCCACTGGCTCTCCTCCCCTCAGCTCTGCCCCATACCTGGTGGATACTGTTAAAGAGGCTCCAGTCGTGGTCAGTCAGCTGGCCAGCCAGGTCTTTGGCACTCACCAGCTCCAGTCCTTCAGCAGAGCCCACAGTGGGCCCTAGCTGCTCAGGGTGTGGGGTCTGCAAGCAAGAGAGTGCTCAGGGTGAGCAGTGGCTGAGGAATCCAGGGGAAAGGTACCAGATGGGAGGGGAGAATGTGGGGCAGAGACTGCCTGGGGTGGAGTGTCAGGGAGAGCAGTGTGCTGCAGGGAATGAAGGGACCTCTAGAGGATGAGCGTCCCCAAGGAGGCCTCTTCCTGACAGCTCTCCAAAGCGAGGACCTTTCCTTGTAGGGTTCCTGGGGAACCCCTAAGGAAGGCAGGTCTTCCTCTTTCTCCTGGAGAACTCCTTCCCTGATCTTTGGAATCCCCTCTCAGCTAAGGCCCACTCCTTCCTCTTCCCTTTTAAGACCCAGCAGCAGTCAGTTCAGTCAGCACCCTCCTGCACTCAGCATCCACCCCTATCACCCCCCCCCCAATCCTACCCCAGTGCCAGCCCCTGTCCCTATCTTCTCCTCCCTGTCTCTATCATCCCCTTTATAGGCCCTCGCCGGCCTGGCCCTGGCCTGTCCATACCAGCTCCTGCACTTCCTGTGCATTGACAACAAAGAGCCGCTCGTTGAGTCCCAGGGATGTGGCCACACCACGAGCCTCTGGCTGCAGGCCAACGGCATCTGCAAAGAGAGCAGTGGCTGCACTGGGTGGGGACAGGTAGGTAGGCCAGGGAGCAGCCAGGATGGGGCGGGACCTGGCCTGGGAGACTGGGAGGTGGGCAGGTGCTCTAAATGCACAGGTGCGCATGCTGGCGTGGAAACGGCCCAGGGCAGCACACCAAGGAGAGTGATGGGGCTCTTGTGAGACAGGCAAGGCTGCAGCCCCTTCAACTTATGACCCCCTTTGTCAAACAGAGACAGGAGACTTGCCCTGACTACTCTCAAGGCAATATGCATGAAGAGTGCATATACATACAATGCATATAAAAGCACTTTGAAAATCAAGAAATATAAGACAGAAGTCTTAGTGTTGATTTTCATCAGCTCCTTGTGAAATGGGACTGTTTTCAGTCATGCTGGAGTCCTCAGACCCTAGGCCAGTGACCTTTAAAGGAAGGTGCATAAGGTCATCTATGTGTCCAGGAAAAAAAAAATAGTTTATCTTTTTATATTAATTTTTCTCATTCACTTTGCGTTATTATTTTGTGTGCAGCTTCACATTAGTGTAGAAATATATGTATGTGACTTATAAAAAGACATACACATATTAGGGGGTTTATAATAAAATATTGTTTATTGGCATGGGTGTCGATGAAAATAGTTTGGAAATCAGTGCTCTCAACATTGCCTGACACATGTCGGGTCTCAACAAATTCTGGCTTTGGCTACTGCAACTCTCCAGGTGACCACGAGAGGGCAGTGCTTCTTAGAGCCCATCACAGGTGCAGGTGACCTCATCTTCCCACTTCCCAAGAGGAGGCTTTTCTCACCTCCACTGCCTGCCATTCACTGAACATTCACTGAATGTTCTTAATTTCTGTCTACCCTGGGCTCCAGCTGTCAAACTAGTCTGCATTCTTCTTCAGTGTTTTTAAAGTCCCAAATTCTCCCATAGCAGGTCTTAAAATAATCCTCTCCTGCCAGGAGGACTTGGGGCCAGGTGCCGGATAAATGCTCCCCACACAGCGGTCCTGTGTGATAGGTCCCACCACAGTGCTCATTTGACAGATAAGGAAACAAGGTGCAGGGAGGTTAGGCAACTTGCCCAGGATCACATAGCTAATAAGCAGCACATCTAGAACTCCAAAACAGGTTGGAGCTGGCAGTCGATGCTCTAACCATCACTGCTGTCTTTCCTGCTGTGGTACCTTAGCTCCCAACGCTGTGATCTATAGCCAGAACTCAAAAATGTTTGCTGACTGACTACATAAAAATTAAGCTACCTAAATTCAAAGGCCAGCTATCCTGTCCTTTACCATGTGAGAGTGGGGAAATTGCTAATCCCCTTGAGCCTCAGTCTCCCTTGTCTGAAAATAGGATAGCAGTGTTTATTTAATAAGATTGTTATTAGGATTCAATAATTACATAAGCATAATAGTAATAATGACAGCAGTTAATACCTATGCTATGCTGTGACCAACGCCATTCTGAACACTTTGATCCTCATATAAACACATTTCATCATCACAAGTCCCCTCTGAAGCTGGTCCTCTTATTCCCATTTTATAGATGCAACAGAACACAAAGATTAGGGACCCTGCCCGAGGGCATACAGTGAGCTGAAGAACTGGTATCAAATACACACAGTAGACTCCAGAGTTCATGCATTTAAGAGATGTAATAAACCATCCATACTCTAACCATCATTCACACTGATGATGATAAAGATGATGAATTTAATTGGGGGGGATACCTGTGCATAGCTCCCCAGAGACACCACTCACCACCTGCGGAGTTGACCTTCACCAACACCTGCCCCTTGGTCCAGCCATCTTCCTGGGCCAGTGCAGACATCACCTCCCTCACAGTGGCTGTCACAGGCAGCTGCAGGGTCAGCACCGAGTGGTCTGGTCTGAAGATGTTGTAGGGGACTAAACAGGAAGAGCAGGCTGAGCTGCGGGAGGGGACTGCGTGTTCTCCCCACCCTCAGAGGGAGAGGGGTCCCTCCCACCCTAAGAGAGGAAAGGTCCTAAGGAGAAGCCTGGGTGAACAAGTTGGAAGCCTGATCACTGAGCTGCAGAGCAGGTGTGGAGGTAGCCTGGAACTGGGACCCGGAGCCAGGCACGTCAAAGTCAAGGGTGAAGACAGCAGGGTGTGGCTACTCCCTGGCTGGCTTGGACCACCGACCTTTGTCCCCAACTCGGATGGCACAGGTGCTGCTGGGGAGGGGCTCATCCTGACCGGGAAGCCAAGTAGGTACGATCCGGGCCTGAGAGGAAGAGAAGTAAGACCATGGGGCGCTAGGGAAGCAGGGGACTCGCACAGTGCACAGACCACCGCAGGCTCCACTTGCCATACGGCCCTGAGCCCAGGTGAGGTACCAGGAGCTGAGACTCCAGGGGAGGGGACAGAGCAGGACTAAGCAGAGCCTGCATCCCCTGTGTGTCACCCTGCTCTGCAAAATAAGTTTAGCAGTTGCAATCTAGACACACCTCAGGCTAACTCTGGTTTTCTCTTCCTTTCTACCTTCAGCTGCCAGTTTGCTAGTTTGCTATTTGCTACATGTCAGGATAAGGGCATGCTTGTTCTAAGTATCGAAATAATCACAATAGCCCTTTGATGAAAGTATTATTTTCCCCATCTTATGGAAGAGATAAATGAGGTTCAGAGAAGTTAGGTAATATGCCCAAGGCCACACAGCTGCAAAGCAGGAAAGCTGGAATCTTCCTGCTCCTCCCTCCCTCTGTGCTCTTATCCACCAGCACTCAGTTGTGTCTGCTGCCCTGTCAAGCCACAGCCTTTCATAAGTGGGCGCCAACCACAGTGGCCACCCCAACTCTTCCCAGCCCTCACATTGACTCTCTTCCTCCTCCCATTTTGAACATGGCAGATCCTCCAGATTCAGACCCCAGACTTTCATATCTCAGCACTCTCCAAGCTCTTCTCAGCTTCATGCTCTACCTGCTTCTGGAAGACTCTTAAAACCATACCACCTGCACTGAGTTTTCTTCTAAGCCCTGGTTGCAAATGCCTCCCAGAACCTTTGGTATCTATGAGCCTTCACCTCAAACTCAACACATCCATGGGGCCCCGCTTATCCCACCTCCCAGTTATTCTCCCAGGCTTGGGGCACTCGCTTCCTCCACTGCCCCACAGCTCAGCACCTTGCTGTGGGGATTGTTCTCCAAGACCCCCTCCTCCCAAGTCCACGCCAACACCCCCCAATTCCACCTGCCCGTGTCAACTCCTGCCTTATCTGCTCCACCAACCCAACTACTCTCCTCCATGCCCCCTCCTCCAGCCTTCCTGCACAGAGCCCACTTTTCCTACCAGGGCTTCAAGGCCATTGCCGCCCACCAGATAAAGCACAGGCTCCTTAGCTGACCGATACAGAAATCTGACCTTGCCTCTACCTCCGGTGGCTTATCTTGCTGAGGGCAGCAAAACCACTTCAGTGCCCAGAGGGCCCGCACACTTTGGTCCCTACCAGTCTCCCTGCTTCCTCTGGCCTCCCTTCTCCCACAGTCCTAAAGGGTAAGCTCTTCTCCTTTCTCCACCCCCTTCCTGCCAGGAGCATCTTCTTCCTGAACCCTTACATCCTGCAGCTCTCAGCTCCAGCTCAGGTGGTCACTTCCCTGGGGACGCTCTCCCTGGCCCTGACCCAAATCAGTCCTTTGCTCTTCAGCCCAAGAGACCCCTGGAGCAGGAGACTCTTTAGCATCTCTGTCCCTGGTTTGCTGTCCCCCAAAATGCTGGGGTGGCCCTCCCCACCTACCATGGCATTGTGGGCACCTTACACAGTGCCCAGCACATGAGGGTCATTCCATGCTGGTTCCAGCCCAGCAAGGCACTGCGAGACCCTAGGGAAACAGTCAGGGCCCCACCTGCATGAAGCCTGCAGTCTAATGGGATATGACAGATACTAACAATCAGCAAATGGACCCGAAAACAACTCCATGTGGACATAATGCTTTGAAGAAATCAGAGAAGACACCTTGGAGAGAGTGGCAGGGTCAGGAGGGATTGTTCTGGATGGGGAGGTTAGGGGAGGTTAGAGTCCCTCTCTGGAACTCAACATTTTGGCTAAGATCAGAGAAATGAGAAGGACCCAGATTGGCAGAGTGTGAGAAAGAAGGTGGGAGCAATCTCGCCTACAGAAGAGACATGGCCCTGAGCGTCCAGCAGGGGCAGAGCGTCAGGGACAGGCAGGAGGAGGCTGGGCACCACGACCCCGCAGGCTGGGGAACTGGGTTTATTCCCAGGGCAGCACCCCCCACAATAGACACGCAGCTGGAGCCAGACAGAGGCAAGAGGGGCTGGTGCAGGGCAGACACCTTCATCTGAGGAGATGCGTTCCCACAGCCGTTTTCCAACCTGCGGAGCAAGTGAGAGGGAGGTAAGACTGGAGGCAGGGCCCAACAGGCCCAGGGCCAGGCCTGGGCATACCAGAGACTCAGACCAGCGGACTCAGTGGCTGTTACCTAGAGAGGGGCCTGAGTGGGGCATAAAGTCATGACCCTGAAGTCTGTCATTTTCCAAGGGGAAAATAAGGGCCAGTAAGAAAGAGAGACGAGCTTCAAGAGAGCACAGGATGCTGGTGTCGGGTGAGGTGGGCGCGGGTTCTCCCTGACCCTCAGCTGTGCCAGGGGGAGGGTCTGAGAAGGCCCAGCAAGGTGGACTCGGAAATATGCTGGGTGGGGCCACAAGAACAGGCACCAAGGGTGCTCAGTAATAAATAAATATGCATAATAAACACGTGGCAGATGGAGGAAGTGAGACCAGCAGGTGCCCTGGGGAAACAAGAATGACACATGAGCAGCTGTGTGATGCATGAAAATGAGGGGCAGGTAAGAACAACGGCCTGAAGTAACAGGACTGGACAGACATGGGCCCCGCAGCCCAGGCTCGACAGCGCCGGGCAGGGCACTCTGCGCTTGAGGCGCATGGCCTATTCCATCCTCGTAACGAGGCAGACATGCTCCTGTTTTCCAGACAAGAGCTCAAAGGCCCAAGAAGGATGACGCGTCCAGGGCGGCACGGCTATAAGTGGGTCATCCTGGGCTTAAGTGGCGAGTCTGACTCCTGGCCTGGTGCTCAAGGCCCCCACCCAGTGTGCTCCCATCACCAACGACTCAAAGCAGCACCTGTGGTGTCGCCGCCTCTCCGGCCACTGCTCCCGCAGCAGGTTGCTAAGCCGGCCGTCCCTGCTCACCAGGTCTGAGAGTTTCTGGGAGGAGGCAAGTTTCATTGAGATGGCCACCGTGTGCAGCCCCAGCTGCCCAGTCCAGCCTGGCCTCCCTCCTAGGCACCTGGAGGAAGCTGGCGGCCACAGGGTCGGTGTGGAGTGTGGGGCCGTACAGAGCCACCCACTGGCTGACCAGTCGCAGGATCTGCTGCCTCTTGTTGCAGATGTAGGTGCTGCGCTCCTGCTCGCTGCCACCCGTGGGCTCCGCGTGGAAAGTGGGCACCAGTCAAGGAAGCACAGCAAGCAACTGGGCAACCCCCGTGCCTCAGGCAGGGAAGGGGTAGCAGCCCACAGTGGCAAGCGGGTCCTGGTGTGAGCTGTACTTTGAAGGGTTTGGCATGGCCTTGCTATGAGGGGCTCCTTTCCCCCTCCGCACCTTCCTAATCACCCCAGGGTGGGAAGGATATTGGTGTAGAAGGGCAGCACAGAGCTGGGTGCTGGACATGAAGACGCTGTAGGTCAGGAGGAAGTCACTGAGGAATGTCTCTGTGGGACAGAGATGGGGGGCAGGAGGGGCACTTCAGAGGACAGATCTACTGAACACAGGTGTTTGCATCACTAGAGTGTCCCTTCCCTCAATCCCACCATGGGCAAGGAACCAGCAATGCCCAGCCCCTGTAACAACGCTCCCCACCCACCGAGAGCACTGGCATGAGGACTTCCTGCTAGGTGACCAAATAGGCCAGCCCAGCACGGATGCTGTCAGAGACAGAGCTCCTGGCCCTCTCTCGGCTTCACCCAATGAGTCAGAGAGCAGGCAAGGTGTCTCCTGCCCCTACCTGTTGGGTCATGAGCACTGGAATCAGGCCTCATGGCCTCCAACAGCAGTTCTAGGATCTTTTCTGGGGTGCCAGACATCACCGTATACCTAGGAGAAATGGCCATTTGCGCCACTTGCTCCCCACCCCCACAGCCTGGGCAGACATAATCGGCTCCTCCTCCCTAAATGCCAGCCCTGAGGTGGAGGGAGCTGACTCAGCAGGTACATCTTGGTCCCTGGATGCCTCTTTCCTCCCAGGAGGCCAGTGGGGGGTGGGGGGGAGGGCAGGAGGAGAGTGAGTAAAGTCAGTAAAACAGCAGAGAAGGTTGCAGAGAGAGCATGGTGGTTACCGGTTCCTGCCTGGGGGCGGGGGGCGAGAAGGGCCAGCGCTCTGAGACGTCCTCTCCAGCACCAGCACCACTTTGCCATGCTCTTCCAGCCTCATGGTCTTTGCTTCTACGTCCTGGAGAACAAGTCACAGTCACTGCTCAACACACCTCCACCTCCTCTGACCCAGACCCTGAAGCCCTCAGGACCCTCAGCCCTCCCCCACCAGCTCAACACTCACAATCTCAGATGTGCTCGCCCCTCCCTCCCCTGCCATCACACAGCCTGGCTCCCCGTCTTGAGTAGTTCCTTCACCACATCCCCCCCAGCCTCCTCCTAGTCTCATAAGGCTGCTTCCTCTCACGCCCTAGTCCCCACTATCACTCCCTCCCCCACATCAAAGGGGAGGTCAGTCCTGCTGGACCTCCCATCCCCCAGTTGTGCTCCCACCTCCCGCCTCCGCACTTCCTGGCCTCCTGCCTCTCCCTGCTCTCTGGCCCCAGCTGCTTACTCCACACCACTTATCTGGAGAAGTATCCCTACCATGTCTCCCCACCCCCAGCTATGGCACCTTGATTATACGGTTGAAGTCCTGCTTGTCCACACGGAGAAAATGACAATTGTCTTCTCGAAGGATGATGGTGGCTGCCCGGGGCGCATCGTTCACCAGAGCCAGCTGCCCAAAGTCATCACCCTCGTGCAGGGTGGTCACCAGTCCCTGCAGCCAAGCCTCACTCAGAGCCCAGGCCAACCCCAGGCCTCACTAGCACACACCCAGATGGAGAAGAACCACCCAAGGCTCCCCCCACAAGGACATGGCCAGGGAGCAGTGACAGCTCAGGGGCCTTGGGAGGGAGGGAGGACTCACCTTGCCGTGCGTCACCACATTGACAGAGCCCTTCCAGATAATGTACCATGAAGTGCCCTTGTCCCCCTGGCTGAACACTAGAGAAGCACAGATGAGACATGCTCTCCTGGCACCCACCCCTTCTCCACAGCCTCTGCCCACGTCCAGGCCCTGCCGCCCAGCTCCCAGCCCCTGTCAGACTTACACACAGTCCCTGCCTTGCTGTGTGGTTCAAAGAGCAGAACTGCTGCTAGTTCCCGCTTCACCTGCGGGGTGGGGAGAGGGGGCCCAGCCGGTGAGTCCAAAAGAGAAGAGTCAGGTTAGGTGTGAGGGGTTACATCCAAGGACACAGGGCTAAGGGGACAGAGGTGCGCCTAGGTCAGGTGACCTGGAATACAGCAGGAGACAAAGCCAGGGGAGGATATGAGCTGAGGAAGAAAGCTTTGCAGAAAAGGTGCTGGGAGGCTGGGGGCAGAAATGAGACTGAAACATCCAAGCCACTGGCAGAAGGGGGGAGGAAGTTTCAGCCCACTGTTGGGCCTCCAAGCAGTTGTGGGGAAAGCGGGCGGGGGCAGGCATGCGGGGCCACGCCTGCACACTGACCGAGTTGGAGAGGTGGGCCACGGCCTTGATGTGCAGCAGCTCCTCAAAGATGAGGTCCAACTCCTCGTCTGTGCGCTGGCCTGGGCTGTAGGCACAGAAGAGCCGGGAAGCAATAACGAACCGTGGGCCCAAGGCCAGGCACAGGGAGCCCCCTCACCCACCTGGCTCGGGTCTGAGGCTACCACTGCCTCAGCAACAATTGTTGTCAATAACAGGCCAGTCTTCACTGTGGGCACCCAAGACCAGACAGTGGACTGGGCGCCTTACATGCATTACACAATGAGGTAGGTCTTGTTATCCTCATCTGACAGGACAGGAAGGTGACAAGGAGCAGCCCAATACTGCCCAGCCAGTAGCCAGCAGAAGTGGAATTTGAACACAAACCTCCCTACAGATTCCAAGCTCATTCTCTCTAAATTACTATTATACCTCAGAGTGGGCAGGGACTTTGGGGGGCCATGTGCCCCATGCCCTCAGTCATGGTGAGGGAAATAGTTCAGCAGTGAGGAGACAGTCACAGGCAGACTGCTGACCGTGGTCCAATCTCTAGATCAGCCAGGGTCCTTTCCCTCAGCAAGAAGTAAGGGGTCCCTTCAGAGGATCTGAGTAACTCTGGGGTCTGAGAGCCACGTGGGAGCTGGGGTTGCAGGGCGCAGGGCTCCCCACTCACAGCTTTCGAAGTGCTACAGTGAGTAGAGCATCAGGCCCCCTCTGGGAGAGCAGGGCCACAGCCTCAACCAACTCCTCCTCCATCTCGTGGATGCCCGCAGGCTCTGACTCCGGCCCGGGGAAGCGATAGAATTGGGTGTCTCGGTCCTGGAAGGTCCAGTCGTGTTTCACTGTGGAGCAGAGGCCCAGGTGTGGGAGAGGAAAGGAAATTAAGTCCATGCAGATATGAGTCCCCACTGCGATGCCCACACCCTCCTCGCCCCTGGGTGCCTGCTCTCCAGGACTGCCCAGCCCGGCGCCCACCCTGCACATGGGCTCACCATGGTAGAGGGCGCCCTCATCCAGCAGCACCTGGCAGATTCCCACGGCCTGGCTCCGGGAATGGACCCCAAACCCCAGGGCCAAGATCCCGTCCACCAGCTCCCGGCCAGAGCAGCACTGCCTACGGGACAGGAAGGGCACAGGAAGAGGGAAGGAGCAAACAGTAGGAGGGTGGAGAGGAGAAGGGCAACTTCCCAGTCCACTACCAGTTCTGCTAGAGGAAAGCTAAGCTCAGATGCCTGGAATAGAGTGAAGGGGAGAGGTAGGGCGCGGCAGGCCTTCACTCACCGATAGAGCCTGAGGTGGTACTTTCTGTCTCGGATGAGGTTTGGGCAAGCAGCCAGCAGATGCCGATGCAGCTGCCTCCCAGCCCTGAGCAAGCGCTCAGTGGAAGTCTGGGGTGGGAGGACAGCGCAGCTAGTTCAGGCCCCCGAAGCCCCGCCAGACCCTCTCCTCCCAGGGCCACCTTGTAGGGCTTGTACCTGCTCTAGGCTCCCGCTGAAATCCAGGGACTCCTCACTGTCAGTGAGGGGAGTCTGCAGGAAGAGGAGAGGGTCTGCATGTTAGCGCCAGGCCTTCGAATCCAGTTCTCGAGCCCCACCTCTTCCCTACCACTCCTAACCCATGCCCAGTCTCCGACTCCAGATGCATCCATTTAGCTACTCAAGCAACAAATCAACAAATAATTAGCAGCCCATGTGCCAGGCATTTGCTGCAGCCACCCCATCACCAAACCCTTGTTTCCCTTTCTGGCCCAAACGCTCTCTCCCCACAGATTCCCCAATCTGCTGCCTTGGGACCCAGGCATGCCCAGGCTCCCAGGTGAAGTGCGGATGTGAGATAAGAAGGCGGTGAGAGGCCAGGAAGTGAGCCCCTTAGGATTCCAAGAACACTTGCTCCTGGGTTGGGTCACAAGGCCTGATCCCATGCCAGGGTCTGTTCCCAGCCCCAGGACAGACTGGGCAAATCTCTTGCTTTCTATGGGCCTTGGCCCTGCCAGGTAGTTAAAAATACAACTTCCAGACCACACTCCTAGAGTCAAATCCCTGCTCCTCTGTTTACTAATAGCATGACCCTCAGCATTTACCTCTCTTTGCCTCGGTTTCCCTGTCTATAAAAGCTACATAACACTCATAATACTACGTCAGGCTTCTGGAAGGACTGAGTTAATAGGTATCGAATGTTTAAAGCACCACCCGGCATAGTCGCATACACATGTTGGCTGTTATTACTCATCTGTGAAGCAAAGGGCAGGGCCACTTGCTGCAAGTCCCTTTCCTCCTTGAGATGCTGTTCGTCCGTGACCCTGTGAGAGTAGGTAAGACCTGGCAGCACACAGCACTGGCTCCGACACAGGGTTTTTGGAGAAAGACTGTTAACAAGGTCCCTGCCCTTAGTTCCCACTGAGCCACCCAGGACTCCCCAGCCTGTGTGCCCCTGGAGGTCGGCCATAGAGGCGCCTCACCATGCTTCTTTCCTGCCACCTGAGAACTGGGAGGTACAGATATCTTTGGACAGGATGTCCTAGCTTCCCCTCAGCTCTCCCTAAGGCAGAGCACTGTATATTTGGCAAAGCAAGTCCACCTCCACGGTTTCCTGTGATCCTACATGAAAAAGGATCAGATGTGAAATAGGCCGAGCAGGTCTGCCCTCCTACGAGGAAACAAGTCTTGGGGTGAAGTGCCCCCTGTGAATCAGTCGCATGTACATGGCACAACCAGACAGCAATGACCAGCTCCAGTTCCTACCCGGGAGTGTTTGCCCTCTTGGTCTCCACCCACCCCACCTGCCTGCTTCTGCTCCCCTCTTCTCTCTCCTCCCCAGCAATCTCTCCCCTGCTCTCCCATCTGTACTCAGGTCTCTGAAAAGGACCTGGCTAGGAGCTAGGAGACAACCAGGCTTGGGGCCAGAGCCCCTTCCCTGATCCTAAATCTTCCCGCAGCACAGGCAGAGGCCTAAGGGCTGACGTGTCTAGGCGCCTGGCCCAGGGCTGGGCGGAAGACCTAGGTGTCCCCAGGGTATCCCTGCCCGGGTCATGGGGCCCAGTCCAGTGCCAGACACAGAGCCTTGGAGACTCAGGACAGGAAATGAGGAGGAGGAGGAGGAGCCAGGAAGGAGGAAGGGCAGGAATGCTACCCAGTCAGCCCCCTGTGTCGGAACAAACAGTGTTGAGTGCTAATGACTTGTTGTTGTTCCAAGTCAAACGCTCAAGCAGAGGCCCTAGTGGCTGCCCCAGCTCCCGTTGGTGCCCATAACCCAGGCTCCAGCACATGCTCCCTTCCTGGTATTATTCTGACCCCAGAGGGCACATCAGGGGGCTAGGTGCCAGGTCACATGGCCAGGCTGGTCCCGACCCAGACCCCAGATCCAAAGGCCTTGCTTCCAGCTCTGCCAGCCAAGCTGAGGAAGGATCCTGACGGTGTATCTCTCATCCTCTTCTTTTGCCAAGTAAAGCAGGAACCCAGAGAGATGTAAGTAACTTATTTAGAGTCGCCCAACTGCTCAGAAATTTAAGATCCTGCTGAATAACACTGCTACCGACATTGACCCTGGAAGTAGCTGCTTGTCTCCTATTTCGCAGCTATCGAGGAGGCTTGGAGGTTATGTAACCTGCCCCAAGAACTGGTAAATAGGATCACCAGGATTGCCCACGCCTGTCAATTCCAAAGTCTGAGCTCTTAGCCACCAAGGGCCTCCATCTCCCTGTGTCTCCTCCATTATGTGTCATGAAAGCAAGAACAGGAATGTCACATGGGCAAGTAAGTTCAGAAAACACCGGGTTAAACAAAGTTCACTAGGTTTGTTACCACGGTCCCTAAAATGGTAGTACGCACTGGGAAGATCCTAGGATCAGGGTGGGGCTACTGACTCAGGGGGATTAGTCAAGTGTGCAGGCTCCATAGCTGGATACCTGAGTTCAAATCCTGGATCCCTATTATCACTGCTGTGTGACCTTGGCTCCTTATTAACCTCTCTGTGCTTCAGTTTCTTTATCTGTCAGATGGCATTGGTAATAACAATACCTATCTCATAGGTACCCTGAGGATCAAATGAATTAATAGTATTAAGCACTCAGAGCAGTGTCTGGCTGCAGTAATTGCTCAGAAAATGTTAAGTAATTTGACTGGACTTTACTATTTCACGATGGGCACCTGTTACCTGCTGATTCTGTCCCTGATTCTGTGATCCTATCTGTCAGCTTAGGAGTTCTCTGTCTAGAAGAGGCTGTGAAGGGTCAGGGTGAAGACCCTCACCCACCACCTCCCTCTCAGGCCCAGCTAGGAAAGACTTGGGGTGCCAGCGAGCCCCCTGGCAGCAGAGCCACAGTCAGCCTCACCTCCCTCCCTGTGGCCGAGTGACAGAGTCACACAAGAGGAGCAGGCACAGAGCCAGGCAGCCGTCAGACCAGTTCCCTTAGGCCACAGTGAGGGTCAAAGGCCAGGGCTGTACATGGTGGAACAGGGAAAGGATGCACAGTGCGGAGTGTTCTAGGGGGGGTCAGTGATTGAACTCTGTGGCCAGAGTGCCCAGGACCAAAGACCAGCTTTCCCCCTCAGCAGCAAGATAACCCTCAACTTGTCCTGCAGCCTCTCTGTGCCTCCATTTCCTCACCTATAAAGCGAGATGACATAGTGCTTACATCACAGGGCTGCTGTGAGATGACTGGCTATGCTAAAGGTAAAGCTCTTATTCAATTCAGGGTTACCAGAAAAGAAGAGGGAAGGGAGGGGGTGGCAGAATCGGGTATAAGGAACCAATTTCATGGCAAGGGATAGAAGTGGCCTTTCAGTGCTGAACTTAATGTAGTACACATATATACACATTGATTTTTAGTGATGCACCGGAAACTTAGTGTTATTATATAATGTTACTTCAATGAAAAATAAAATAAATTTCATTAAAAATTTTTTTAACAAAATTTTTTAAAAAAGCAAAGCTCTCCACTCTCTAATAGTGCCTGGGAAATAAGTACTTGATAACTATTAGCTGCTACCATTATTTGGGTATGTTTTCTGGGTTAACAGTGGAGAGCCACCTCCCCAGACAATCACTCAGAGGGAAACTTGTTTTTGTGAGCTCAGGGGGCCCACCAGAGGCCATCTCGATCTGTCTGTGGACATATTCATGCCTCTGTTGGCTCCCAGACATTGGACGAGATCACCTCTCCCTGTCACATTTTCCAAAGGAGATGTTCTTCCTTATGGCTGCAGAGTTGCCTCTGCCAATATTGATAAGTCCTTTCTGTATCTAACCTCCGGCTCTCCTGCTGTAGTCAGCTTTCATTTTCTTTTGTTCTGGTCAGGTAGGAACAGAAAATGCTCCCTTCAGACCTCAGGCTGATGGATTCCCCCATGTTTGTACAAGGTAGGCATGGACTGAGTAACTCCTAACACTGTTCTCCTGGGGCTCTGCCCTCCACCCTGTGCCAGCAGACCCCTGCCTGACGAGCCTGCTTCCCTGGGCCAATCACATCCTCAGGAGGTGACAGGTGCCACTTCACAGGTACCCAGAGCCTCTTAAACATGCTGCAATGGGTTGAAAGCACCACACCCCTATTTCCCATCAAGACAGGGCATGTCCCTGCCCTCAGCCAGGAACATCTACATTCCCTCGAATCACCAAAGCCCACTTACCCCTCCCCACCCCATATACACACACCTGGCAGGGGAGAGGCCTTTAACCCCGTTTACACTCCAGCAACCCTCACCCTTCCGGCCTCCCCAGGCACACCAGCCCTTCCATTCAGGGTGACTGGGGGAATCAGGAGACAGCCTGGCGGCCTCCTCCACCCCTCTCCCAGCCTTTGGGTCCCAAGAGATCCTCCAATGACCTCATTGTCCTGACACCTGACCTTCCCCCCACTCCCTACCTTGCCTCTACTGAGCTAGGAAGGGGACAGGAAATGCACAAGTAATTATAGCCTGAGAGGGAGTGAGGAGGGAGGGTTCCAGCCCACTGGCTCCAAGCAGTAGCTACTGCCAATGACCTGGAGGTAGGGTGGGGGGCTGCTAAAACCAGAAGGGATCAGCTCCCCTACCCACTTCCAGAGCCCATCTTGAGCAGGACCCAGGCCCAAAAGAACCCTTATCAGGAAGACTGAGATAGGGAAGGGCTGGCGAAGAGAGGGAAATGACACCTAGAGTCTCTCAAGTTCAATCCCCAGTTTCAATCCTCTTACTGGCAGGCCTTGGGTTTTCTCAACTCACTCTCATAGTTTGATAAATAAAAATGGCAGCTGGCAAAGGGAGGAAGACGACAGTGGTGGTCATTCTACTCAAGAGGGCTTACCTTTAAGAGATGTGCTCTCCCAAGCTGTCGCCTGCTCCCACTTTCCCTACAGTCCGGCAGCCAAGTATAGTCCTTGCCCCACTCTGCTCTTCCACCATCCCCCGCCCAAGAGGTGGGGGCACACAATGGGGGAAGTTACTCTAGTAGTTCTGGGCAGTTGGGAAGAACTTCTATGCTAATTTGCATCCCAAAATCATTATCCTGCCCTTGTCCCACACCCCATTATTTCTCCTGCTTTCTCCTTCATTCTTGCAGCTCCAGAGATGTTCTTCACTGGCAAACAGAGCTCCTGTCATCTCAAAGTCTCCAAACTTCTCAGAAATCTCCCTTGAGCCCCCAAAGCCAGATGCCAAGCAGTGTTCCCATGACCACCCCATCCCAAGACCAAAAAGCAGAATCAGTGCGGTTCAGTTGCTCACTAAAGAATGTTGCCACGGTGATACCAAGCTGACCTCACAGCCCACCTGACCTGACTGGCTCCCTGTATTTCACACATGCCCCTCACCCCCACCTGGAGATCACACCAGCACCTAGCGCTGATAGCACAAAGGAAACAGACATAGCCTTTCTTCTCTTCCAATTACCCAAATGGGGGCCTGTGGACACCACAGTACACAGATATACATGATGCAGCTGTGTGAGCCATTCGCCTACTGCAATCGAGCTTCCCACCCGTCGTCCACATCAGCAGCACCCCTTACACCCCCAGAGCATGCTGGCTCACTAGCAGCATAGCTGAGCCCCCAGTGCAGGGCCCCCTCCAAGCCCTGGTCCCTGCCTGACTCTGCTCAGGGCAAAGGATGGGCACTCACCCAGCGAAGCCCCTGGATGCGACTGGGGCGCTGGTGCTCAAGCAGCAGCTGGTAGGAGCAGCTTCTGGGCCGGTGCATCCTCCTCAGCACCATGTTGAACAGTGTCTCCTCTGGCACCAAATCTGGGAGACCCCCCACAGGTGGTGCTCCCAGAGCTGGGCCATCTTCCACAGCCAGGCCCACCTCCCAGCGGCTCTCACCTGGCCAGCCCACCTGTGACACCGGGAGGAAAGTGGACCACCAATGGGGCTGGGCAGCAGGACCAGCAGCAACCACCCCAGGCAGAACCACTTCCTCGGACTTCCCTGGACTACTCAGGCTAGGGTTACAACCCTGCCAGGGCCAGGACTGGGACGGAGATCTTCACTAGGGCCTGCAGTCTGCACACTTAGCGGTCCCCAGTGGGTGCCCATGGGATAAGCCCCTTCTTCCCAGGCTTGTTTGGGATACTGTCCCCACCCCACTGCCCATGTCCCTGCAAGGATCTCCACCACCTCCCAGAGTGAGGTTTTGAACTCATCAAATCCCCCAGAAACGCAGCTTCAGCTCAAATTCTTCTCCCCTCCCCCCCCCACCCCTACCCCTGCCAACCCTTTCTCTCATCCAAACTCCCGGCTTCTTCTGTTCCTCCTCCCCTAGCCCTACCTTACCCACCTTCATGATCCTTCTCAGGCTGGCACTGTGGTGCAGGCTGTAACAAAAGGCTGCGGAGAAGGTGGGGCAGCAAGTCCCCTTCAGCTCCGACAGGGGTACCCCAGGGTGCTGAGGACTGAAAGTCCCGGGCGCAGTGGACCCGGCCAGTTTCTAGTCGGACGGGCCGCCCGGGCAGCAGGAGGCAAGGCTGAATGGAGAGACTCGGCTCTTCTTGAGTGTGTAGAGGGCTGAGCCCATAGGGATGGGGGGTCCCCCCCAGCGACAAGAAGCCCCCAGCCTCTGCCTCCGTCCCAGACGAAAGAGCCAGCTGGCACCGGGTGCTGAAGCGGAGCCGCGGCGGGCACTGGCCCGGGCGGGAGCTGTCACACCCCCTGGCTGCCCGCCCCTTCCTCTCGCGGGACGGGCTGAGGAGGAGGCGCCCGGCTTCACCGTAGGGCAGGGCGCAGCGAGGGGGCGGGCACGGGCGGGGGGTGGAGTCGGGACCCTGGGTACGCGAAGCTGGCACGAGCCACAGCCCTGAGGAACCCACGGGCTGGAGTGGCCAGGGTGCTGGGGTAGGGATGGCGAGAGGTTGCCCCGGCCGCCACGTGGCCGGGAGGAGAAATGCAAACAAGGAAAGTGGGGGGAAGGGGGAGGGGGTGAGTCATTGCGGCCCCACCCGGGAGGGAAATCCGGGCTGGGGCCGCTTCCCGGCCGGGGGCGTCCTGCCTCCTGTTTCGATTCAGGGTCTAGTACAACTGGGGGGAGGGCTGGGGCTGCTTTCCCGTGGGGAATCCCGCTGCCGAACCTCCAGCCCCTGCGCCCTCATGCCCTGCTCCACGCGCGCGCGCGCGCACGGGCCCGCGCGGGTGGGGACACTGAGTGAGGCTGGAGGAGAAGCAATGCTTCGGCGTGGATGGGGCGGGAGATGTGGCTCAGCTTGGAGAAGGGGCATTTTCTAGAGAGCCAGGACCCCGCAGCGCGCTCCCCGGCGGCGCGGTGGGTGGAGGCGGGGCGCCGGGGTTGCGCTGTCTCGGGCAGGCGCTGCTCCGAGGCCCAGGGCCTCAGCTTCCACCGCGCGAAGGTGGTCCGGGGCGGGCCTCTGCGTCCCACCCCTCTGAGACGGTGGCTCCAGGACCCTGCGCGCAGGAATTGCTCAGGACGTGAAATGGGCACTCCCCGCCCCCAGCTTTCTAGAACTCCTTTTTTGCCCCATTTTCCCCACACTCCCTTGCTGCTGCGGAGCTCGCTGCTGCTAGGGAAGACACTTGGCTAGCAGTTCAGCTTTCCTGCTCCGGAACACGGGCCCCCATCTGCCACCAATGACTGTTTTTCTTGTGAAGGAGGTTATTATTAAACTCTCCAGTTTTAATGTGTATTAAAAAATCTTCCCAGGCACTTATCAAAATGCAAGTTCCAGCCCCCAAATTCAGATTCAGTCTTTGGCATGAAATGGAAAAATCTGTATTTTGAATAATCATCCCCCGCCCCCTCAGGTTATCACTTATGTGCACACTTTGAGAAATTATAGAAGTTTTAATTTATAACACCTTTTTTTCTAAATCAAGGTTACATTGGTTTATAACACCTTAAATGATTTAGAAGTGTAGGATCACACCTCAGCTGTATGTTACCAATCCACCTCTGATGGTGGAGCTTTAAACACCCCTCCAGGGATGGAAGGGAACCTGAGAATGAATCTGGGCCCAGGCCCAAACCTACTCACCCACCCAAGTTCTGGGGATTTGGAAGATAGAGCGCTGTTTGAACGGATAGTGGCTGGCAGGGATAACAGGCTGGTGGGCGCAAGTGTGTGAGGGGATGAGTTAGAGGTGGAGGGTGGGGCAGGAGTTGAAGTTTCAAGGACCTGGTCTAGAAGTTCTTGAAGGAGAGTTTCCTCAGGCAGGCAGCGGGGTCAGAAAGGAGTCCCTCATTTCTTATTTGCATTGCCCCTGCTTTGGGCAGGAGGAAAAGGGGCAGGAGAGTAAAGGATACATTACCTGGAGAGCTCTCAGCAGAGCACAATAGCCCATAGGTACCTGGCAGTGTTCCCAGTACTTCACAGACATGCATCTCTGCCACTACCCTGGTGAGTGTAGTGTTATTCCCACTTTACAGATAGGGAAACTGAGGTTCAGCGGTACTAAGTAACTTGCCTAGTTCACACCGCCAGTAAATAATGATGGAGCAGTGTCTTGAGCCCAGGTTGTCTGGCTCCACTGAACCCCCAGGCCGTAGCGTTTGTGTATGCATCGTGTGCTGTGTTCATTTTTCTAATCTGTGCTACCTGTCCAGGAGATGAAGCTACAGAATGAAGTAGAACATGTATAAATGGGAGAGAAACGTGCCAGGATCCAAAGAAAGTCATTCAAATCAGTTAAAATGAAAGTCTTCTAAACCCAATTTTCCCCTCTATTTCCCTCTCAATACTACTCTTTCCTTGCCTTTCTTTTTCCAGGTCTCTTTCTCATCCCTTCTCTCGGAGGAGACTGAGGTGATTATCTGTTCACTAGTAGCCAGGGAGACCACAGAGATTAGATGTTCCACTTACCTGTTCTTATTACTGGCAGGAACAGCCCCCTGCCTCCCACCAAGGCAGGTGATTGAGGATACCTGAGGGGGCTCAGGTGGAATGACCCCTCAGTAGACAGGTGACCGAGGCTAAAGCCTGGAGGGGACTGGGGACTGAGGCTGAGTCTGAGTCTGAGGAAAACACCCCAAACCCAGTGGGGGACAGTCACGCCATGCGTGGTACAGCTCCACCCTCCTGACTTCATTAGATGTCTGGCAGGTATGTTAGGACAGATAAATAATAATAACAATAATAACATGTACCAGGCCCTGTTCTTGATACTTTTTTATGCACTCGCTGATCTCCTCATCACAACGCTATGATAGAAGCATTGTTGTTACCCACTTACAGATGAGGAAGATCCCAGCATCCCACACCCAGGTAGACACAGAGCAGTGAGTGATTCTAGCCCAGTGGCTCGGAGTCTGTGCTTCACCTCCCTGCAGTCCTGCCTCTCACATACACTGACAGTATTCACAAAGAGGGAAGAGCTTTTGTCCAGAATCATTTCCCTCACACACTGGTAGGAAGCATCTAGAGGCAGGAGGAGGAACAGGCAGAAGATGGAGGCTGAATAGCAGGGCCCCTTGACACAGTGTGCCCGTGCAGTGAGCTCTCTGCCTTCTCGAACCCAGCCCCTTTCCTTCAGCCAGGTGGCAGGGAACTGAGGGGTTGTGGGAGCACAGTCCAGGAGGGTGAATTGGTAAGGCGGCCTGTTGGGTTACTCACTTTAACACTGGGCTGTATTTCTCCCACCCAGGCCTGAGAGAGCTGAGCTCCCCCATCACTTGTCCAGCGCATGGCTTCTGGATCTTCACAGGTATCTCTCACGAGGCCTCCCTTCTATCCAACCTGCCCTGCTCCTGCTTGCTTCTCTTAGTTCCCTGCTCCAAGAGCCACACCACAAATACCTCAACCACTCCTTCCCCCACATCCAGTCAGCCACCTAGTCTGGTTGATTGATTCAGCCAATGAATAATCTTCTGCATCCTGGAGACTGTGGTGAGGCAGCCGGTGCCTGCGATGGCTTCTCCCCACGGGGGGTGGGAGGGAAAAGGGTTGGTTTTCCAGTTAATTTCAGGGTACTTTGTTCCATCTTCCTCCCGCTTTGCTGCTTTCTTGTCTCCTACTCTTTCTCCTCCTGTTCTGTGCTGCAGACTCTGCTCCCTCACCTGAGGCTGGCCGGTGGTACAGCAGTGAGACCTCTGGCGGGGCGACAGGAAAGGGCTAGCTCGGAGACTAGGGGAGGCAAGGAAGAGCCTGCCTCTGTGACTTGAGCAGCCTCCCTCAGCATCCCGGATTCTGCCTTGGCAGGAGAGGGGCTGGCAGAAGAGCCCAGGCACCCTCCCATGAGCTCTTACCTCCTGGGTGTGCAAGGTTTCAGGTCTTCTGATCCTTGCCTGGCTTCTTCCCCTAGGGTGGTTCCAGGTCAGTTCTCTCATGTCCTCCCTGCCATTCCTGGGGTGGGAGGTAGAGGCTGAGAGCTGGAACACCGATGGGCACCAAGCCAGACCTTCCCCAGACCAGCAGGTCACAGCCTGTTCATGAGCGCCTGGACTGGGGTGGAGGGTGGAGGACGGTGGACTCCTGCCTTCTGCAGGGGAAGAGGTGGGCAAACTGGAGGGAGGGCTGGGCAGGACAGGGGGACCATGGCTACTGACCCAGGCCAGGACAGGGAACCCTGCACTGTCCCAGAGGTACATTCTGCAGGTGTTCAAGTGATGCGTGTGTGGTAGGGGCAAAGAAATACTGACAGCCGAGCCTGTGGTGGTAACGGTGGTGGCTAGAGGGTAAAGAAAGGCAGAGAGCAGGAAGGTGGTTCTGGAGCTGTGCTAAAGTGAGAACAGGCTGCCTACCAGGGAAATCTGGTGTTATGTGAATGTGCATAAATTAGCAGCTGCTTTTTCCCCTGCTTCTGCTTCTCAAGGGTGTGTGTGTGTGTGTGTGTGTGTGTGTGTGTGTGCGTGTGTGTGCGCGCGCATACCCAAGAAACACTGCGTGTGACCTTGAATGATCCCTGCTCTGAAATGGCAACTCCAGTCCAGTTGCTGCCACTTTCCTTCAGGCTGGAAGCTCCTCTCCTTCGCCACTCCTGCAGCCATGTCCAAACTTCCAGTCGGCACTTGCCTTCACTGCAACTACACCGGCTTCTCCCGGGCTGACCACCCACACAACTGCCTCTTCCTGACTTTCGCAGTCTTCCCCAAGCCCCTGTCTCCAGAGTTCCCAGCCTCCATCACAATCCTGGGCCCGCAGCTCTGTTCTGGTCTCATGCTGGACCCACTTTGTCCTCGTGTTTTAGAGACTTGCAGGGAAGGCCACAGAGCCTGAGTGAGGGCCTTGTAGGGCCCAGGCCCCTGCTCCTGAGAAGCCTTGTTCTGTCTGGCTCCAGAGCACTGGCAGAGGTGGGACAAGGATGTGGGCAGTGAGGCAAGCAGGCCAGGGAGAGAAGTCCCTTCTCAGCATCAGGGCAGACCCCCATCCCACCCCCAAATCCCACTCAGGAAGTGCTGGGGCCAGAGAGGAAGCTGAAGAGTCCAGAGACTTCCCACCAGACACTAGACCCTCTGCCTAGTTTCCTCCCTCCAGAGAAGACACAGTGAAAACTCAGGGATGGCTGCAGAGAGGGGGAGTTTGAGAAGGGAAGCACATAATGCTGATGGAAAGGCCGGGCTCCCTCCCTCCCTCCCTCTTGGTATCAGTCCTTGCCTCCAGAATGGAGAGGAGCCCTCAGCTGCTCAGACTTCCCACCCTTGGGCCTGGGGAAGTCCTTCCTACTCTAGGGCCTGAACTGCCCCTCCCTC